CGAATATACAATGGAGTCAAGACAGTCTCTTCCATCAATGGTGTTGGGAAAATTTGACAGACACATGCAAAAGAATGAAACTAGATCACCAACTTACACCATTCACAAAAATAAACTCAAAATGGATACAGGACTTAAACATCAGACGGGAAACCATAAAAATACTAGAAGCATCCACAGGCAGCAAAATCTCAGATGTATGCCAAAAGAACTTCTTCACTGATACTACCCCTAGGGCAATGGAAGCTGAAGAGAAAATAAACAAATGGGACTACATCAAAATAAAAAGCTTTTTTACAGCAAAAGAAATGATCAACAAAACAAGAAAGCCCACTGTGTGGGAAAACATATTTGCAAATGATACCACTAATAAAGGTTTAATCTCCAACATCTACAAACAGCTTATAGAACTAAATAAAAGGAAGATGAATAATCCAATTAAAAAATGGGCAATGGACCTAAATAGAACATTTTCAAAAGAAGACAGAAGGAAGGCCAAAAGGCACATGAAAACATGCTCAAAGTCACTAATTGTCCAAGAGATGCAAATCAAAACAACAATGCGGTACCATCTCACACCTGTCAGAATGGCCAACATCAACAAATCAACAAAGGACATGTGTTGGCAAGGTTGCGGAGAAAAAGGAACCCTCGTGCACTGCTGGTGGGAATGCAGACTGGTGCAACCACTGTGGAGAACATTGTGGAGTTTCCTCAAAAAACTGAAAATGGAACTCCCATTTGACCCAGTAATCCCACTTCTAGGAATATATCCCAAGAAACTAAAAACACCAATCGAAAGGATATATGCACCCCTATGTTCATAGCAGCACAATCTACAATAGCCAGAATTTGGAAACAGCCTAGGTGCCCGTCAGCAGATGATTGGATCAAAAACCATGGTACATTTACACAATGGAATACTATGCTGCCATAAAAACGAAGTAATTCTCATCATTTGCAGCAGTCTGGATGGAATTGGAGAACATCATGCTGAGTGAAATAAGCCAATCAATGAAAGAGAAACACCACATGACCTCACTCATTTGTGGATGATAAAGAACATTATAAACTGAAGAACCAAAAGATAGATATAGAGACAGTATATCAACAAGTAGGCTGTCAAATTACAGTGGGGAGGGGAGGAAGATCTGGGGGAGATAATAGATCAACCGAATGACTTTTATACATGCATATAAGTACAACCAATGGACACAAAACTCTGGGGAGGGAGGGGATGTGTGGGAAGAAGGGAGGGGGGCAAAAAAATCAATAGAATATATATAAAAAAAAAAAAAGAGAAATATGCAAATTGACTGCACCTTTGCTATTTCCGCAAGCCACGCCCACCAGCCAATCAGGGTAAGTATGCAAATTAACCGAACCTAGATGGTGGTTAATTTGCATATCCTGGCCAGAGCAAAGACTGAAGACAGCTAAGAAAGAAGTCAAACGCTGTAGAAGGGGGAAAAACAAACAAGCAGGGTGGGGTAGAAGGGAAGGAAGCAGGCAGGGCAGGGAGAAGGGAGGAAGGCAAACGGGACAGCCACCACAGCAGGAAGTCCTGCATCGGGCCTCTAGTATTTAGATAAATATAAATATAGTATGGGCTCAGTGGATGAATCATGCATCTTGAACTGTGGGCCCTGAGGCTGCTGTGGGCACAGGGGCAGGTCTCAGTCCAACCTCTGTGCCCCACTCAGTCCCCTTCCCCCCACCACCATAGCCCCCAGTCCCCTGTCTGCTGGCAGCTCTGCTCCCATTGATGCTGCTCTCACCTGCTGACAGCGTGGAGCAACTAAGGCTGGCACCAGTACTGGGTGTGAATGGGGGCGGTGCCATCAGTAGGTGCAAGTGGCAGCTGCTGCCTGGATTGCCGCTCAGGAGCAGGGAGAGATGGAGTAGTCCTTATGGGCTATCAGGGATGGCAGCTGCCACTCACACCAGCTGATGGTGCTGAGCGATTGGGACCAGCACCAAGCACCAGTAGCAGATGCAATTGGCAGCTTCTTAACTAAGTATTTGAAGGTTGTATTTATCTAGGAATATATCCATTTTCTCCAGGCTGTCCAGTTTTTTGGAATAGAATTGTTCACAGTATTTTTTAACAAGCCTTTGTATTTCAGTGGGGTCTGTTATTATTTCTCCTCTTTCATTTCTGATTTTGTTTATTTGGGCCTTCCCATTTGCTTCTTGGTGAGCCTAGCTAGAGGTTCATCAATCTTGTTTATCCTTTCAAAGAACCAGATCTTGGTTTTGTTAATCTTTTGTATTGTTTATTTGGTCTCTAGGTCATTTATCTTCTCTCTGATTTTTATTATTTCCTTCCTTCTACTTATACTGGGCTTTTCTTATTGCTCTTTTTCTAACTCTTTGAGTTGTAGGGTTAGGTAATTTATTACCATTGATTTTTTGTTGTTGTTGTTTTTTTGTTTTCTGCAGTAGGCTTATAGAGCTGTGAACTTTCCTCTCAAGACTGCTTTCACTGTGTCCCATAGCTTTTGGATTATTGTGTTTTCATTGTCATTTGTTGCCATGATGTTTTTTATTTCTTCTTTGATCTCTCTGGTAACCTAATCATTGTTTAATCACATGCTGTTTAGTCTCCATGTGTTTGATTTTTTGAATTATTTTCATTGTAGTTGGTTTTCAATTTTATGCCACTGTAATCTGAGAAGTTGCTTGATATAATTTTTATCTTCTTGAATTTGAAGAGACTTTGCCTATATCCCAACATCTGATCTATCTTTGAAAATGAGCCATGAGCACTTGAGAAGAATGTATATTCTGTGGCTTTGGGGTGAAATGTTCTAAAGATGTCCATCATTCCATCTGGTCTAGTGAGTCATTTAGGACTGATGTTTCTTGCTGATTTTTTGTTTAGAGGATTTGTCCAATGGTTATAGGGGGTATTTAAGTCTCCTGCTATGATTGTATTGCTGTCAATCTCTCCCTTGATATCCTCCAAGAGTTTTTTTTTTTTTGTTTTGTTTTGTTTTAAATATATTTGGGTGTTCCTGTATTGGGTGCATATATGTTTACCAGAGTTATTTCTTCTTGTTGGATTGCTCCCTTTAGTATTATGAAGTGGCCTTCCTTATCTCTTGTTATGTTCTTCACTTTGAGATCTAATTTGTCAAATATAAGTATTGCTACCCTAGCTTTTTTTTCATTTCCATTCACCTGAAAAACCTTTTTCATTCCTTCACCCTCAGTCTGTGTGTGTCTTTTTTTCTGAGGTGTGTTTCTTGTAGACAGCAGATATATGGGTCATGTTTTCTTATCTAATCCATTACCTTATCCCTCTTTATTGGGGTATTTAATCCATTTACAATAAAGTTATTATTGATAGGTGCTTGTTTGTTGCCATTTTTATTCTTTACCCCTGTGTTTCTTCTTTGCCTCTTCTTTCTTTCTATATATATATATATATATATATATATATATATATATACTGGACTCTTTAGCATTTCTTGCATTGCTAGTTTGGTGGTAATAAACTCCCTTAGTCCTCTTTTGTCTGAGAAGCTCTTGATTTCACCTTCAGTTTTGATTGGTAGCCTTGCTCGGTATCTGGCCTGATGTGTTTCTGTTGAGAAATTAGTCTCTAGTCTGTTGGGGGATCCTTTGTAGGTAACTTTCTGTCTCTCTCTGACCACTTTTAAGATTCTTACTTTGTCATTGATGTATGCCAATTTAATTATAATGCAACTTATTGTCAGTCTTTTGGGGTTCATTTTGCTTGGGACCCTGTGAACTTCTTATATGTGTGGGGGTTTTTCTTCCCTATATCAGGGAAGTTTTGTCATTATTTCTTCTAATAGGTTTTCTATTCCTTGCTCAGTTTTCTCTCCTTTAGGCAACCCTTTATGCGGATGTTGTTTTGTTTCATGTTGTCCCAAAATTCCCTTAGGCTCTCCTCCTGCTTTTTAATATTTCTTTTAGAAGCTGCTCTACTCTACTTGGGTATTTTTCCTACCTTGTATTCTAGCTCACTGATGCAGTTCTCTGCTTCTTTTAGTTTACTGTTGATACTTTCTATTGAGTTCTTTACAGCAGCGATGTCATTTTTCATTTATTCTTGGTTCTTCTACATTTCCTCTTGGTTCTTACATATATTGTCAAATTTGTCTTCCATTCTTTTCATCCACCTTATGTCCATTTCTTTGAATTCTTTCTCTGACAGGTTGCTTGCCTCCATTTTGTTTATTTCCTTTTCTGGTGATGCCTGCTTTTCTTTCATATGCAGGCTATTTCTTTGTCTCTCCATGATCTCTCTTCTACAGGTGTCTGGTTATGTAGTTCTCTCTCTCCTTATCCCAGGTGAAATCTGACCTTTCCATGAGGGAGTGTAGAGCTCCTCTGTATCTGTGTTCTTGTGCCACTTGGGAACTGGTAACCTCAGGTTCTCAGCTGTTCGGTGGGTGCCCTTGATTTTTCAGGCTTCTGATAACATCCATTTTCCCCTCCAATATGGCACACTCTCCATGTCCAAGCCAGTCACTCTGGTAAGGAATCCAGCAGCAGTGGGGGCTGCCTGGTCAGGGGAGCCCCATCCTGCAGTCCCCCACAGTCTCCTGGAGTATAGCTGTCCCTCAGATTACCAACAAACACTCCCCATGTGACTACACACTATCTCTTTGTTTTCTTATGCACACACTGTCTTGCAGGCTTCCTTCCCATCAGCAGCCATCTTCTCCCATAGTCCGCTGTTGATTTAGAAAAAATAATGGTTGCAAACAAAGAGATTAATATTAGTTTATAGACTTCTGCTTGACCAGAATGTTTAGCAATTTATGGTTTAGAAATGATAAAGAACAGTATTGAAGAGTCCTTAAGAACTTGGACTACAGAGCCAGTTTGCCTGAGTTCGAATTCAAGCCATCCCAATGTGATCTTAACAAGTATTATCTATACCCTTTTACTACTTGAAACTTTTGGAAAGATAGAACTATATATGTTTAGCTTTAATATAATTCTCCTAAGATTTACATTTTTAGATTGCATTTGAAAATGAAGTTGTACAAACACAGTACATCCTCTATTAAATGATGTCACTTCAGCACCTACTCACTGTGAAGAAGGTTCAGTGCATAAAAGCAAACAGATTTCTCTGCAATGGGCCTTAACGTAGTGTGGGTATGTTTTGATTCTTTGATTAACTTATCAGTTGAGTTGATCTTTTGTGTATGGAAGATATGTGAAAAGCAAAGTTAAACTCATAGATAATTATGTTTATTCTCTTTCTGGTATTCAGGCCAAAGTGAAAATGTTTTGGAAACTTATTTGTAATGCACCTAGTAAGGCTGATGAATTATAGTCTAGAACTTCCTCTATCTTTGGCATTTACTCCAAAGACTCAAACAGATTCAGCCTTGGACATCAAGAGTAAACAGAATAAATTGTCTTATATAGCTAATCAAGTAAAGAAGAGACCAGTTAAAAACAAAACATCAAATGATTTGCTGTGCTATAGGTTTTCAGATCTTGGTTCACATATTTAACTCTTTGCTTTTGTAAATCTGTCACTTTCAGTTAACTTTACAGTTGAGTATCAGCAAAATATGTTTAGTTCTATCAAAATTTTACCTGCCTGCCAAAATAATGAAGATAATCCTGTCCATAACCCCAAACTCACTCTTTCACTTTCTTTTTCTCTTTATCTTGTTGATGGATATCGAGTTATAAAATAAAATCATATATTTGCTAATGATTCATCTGATAAGGGGTTAATTTCCAAAATATATAAAGTACTCACACAACTCAAAAAATGGAAGATAAACATCCCAACAATAAAGATATCTTTTAAAATACACACAATAGCAGTATTTCCAGGTCAAGATTAAGCATTGATTATTTAAGCATAGATCAGAAGCAAAACTCATATGGGACTTACTTGATACTCATAACTTAGAATTTCACTATTCTTCCAAATAATATATACTAATAAAAGCCCAAGTGGCCCTCATGCCCTCACGCTCACAAGAAGGCCACCCACAGATCATCACAAGATGGCTGCCACAAGGTGGACATTGCCACCTTGTCACAAGATGAACCGCCCCCCTCCCACGTCATTACAAGTTGGCTGCCACAAGATTGCTGCCACAAGATGGTTGGCAAGGGAGGGCAGTTGGGGATGACCAGGCCAGCAGGGGATGGAAGTTGAGGGCCATAGGGCCAGCAGGGGAGCAGTTAGGTGTCAATCAGGCTGGCAGGGGAGGGTTTAGGGAACAATGTGGCTGGCTAGCAGAAGCAGTTGAGGGCAATAAGGCAGGCAGGCAGGTGAGTGGTTAGGAGCCAGCAGTCCCAAGGGGTTCCAGATTGGAAAGGATTCAGGCTGGGCTGAGGAACACTCCTCCAGAGGATGAATTTCATGCGCCAGGCCTCTAGTCCTAATATATAAAAACCCAGGGTCTGTAAGATCCAAAAAGACTGAAGGCTCAATTGACCACAAGTCAGTCCTGTAGTCAGTGCTGACTATGGTGACCCAGCACTGACTACTACTGATGCAGGCACAGCAACCCAGCACTGACTGTGAAGGGGGCTGTGGACCAGGCCCAAAGAGAGGCCTGGGGAGAGAGAAGCAGGGTCTGATCTGTAGCCTCCGTGGCAGCTGTTGATCAGCCATTGCCTCTCTCTCTCCAGGCTTCTCCAGCAGCTGTGCCTCTCTTTCTCTCCAGGCCTTCATGGGGGCTGCTGATCAGCCCCAACTCTCTGATCAGTCCCAGAGATAGGCCTCGGGACACTGACTGTAATAGAAACCGACCAATCAGAACCAAATCTGTGTGAACTGTGGGGAGCCAATGGCTGCATAGGAGGCGGAGCTTTTAGAGGGTGGGGCAGTGGGCGGAGAGCCTCAGGAGGGCATGTCAGTGAGCTACGAGTAGTGGAGAGCTACCAGCAGTGGTAGGTGGGTGGCCAGCTGAGGCAAGCACCAGCAAGGTACTTGTGCATGGATTCATGCACAGGGCTTCTAGTTTAAAAATAAAGAACAATGATAGTGAGCACAACCATTATATAATGCTAGAGGCCCAGTGCACAAAATTCATGCACAGGAGGGGTGTCCTTCAGCACAGCCTGCACCCTCTCCAATCTGGGATCCCTCTCACAATCCAGGTCTGCTGCCTCCCAACCACTCGCCTGCCTGCTTGCCTGATTGCCCCTAACTGCTTCTTCCTGCCAGCTTGATTGCCCCCTAACCACTCCCCTGCCTGCTTTATTGATGCATAACTGCTCTCCTGCTGGCCCAATTGCCCCTAACTGCCCTCCCCTGCTAGCCTAGTCACCCCTAACTGTCTTCCCCTGCCAGCCTGTTCTCCGCTAACTGTCCTCCCTACAGGCCTGGTCACCCCCAACTGCCCTCTCCTGCTGGTCCAGTCACCCCATACTGTCCACTCTTGCCAGCCTGGTTGCCCCCACTGCAGTCCCCTGCTGGCCCAGTCACTCCTAACTGCCCTCCCTTGCCAGTCTGGTCATCCCCAACTTCCCTCCCTTCAGGCCTGGGTCCCCCCCAACTGTCCTCTCCTGAAGGCTTGGTACCTCCCAACTACCCTCCTCTGCTGGCCATCTTTTGGTGGCCATCTTGTGTCCACATGGGGGTGGCCCTCTTGTGTCCACATGGGGGCAGCCATCTTGTGTGTTGGAATGATGGTCAATTTGTATATTACCTCTCTATTATATAGGATAACTATAATACATGCACTAGGGGGGAGGCAGGGTTCCTCAGCCTACCCTGCCACTTCTCACAGTCATCAGGGAAAGGCACCAACCCCCCCCCCCCCCCGCTGCTGCTGCCACTGCTGACTGCCACAGCTACCAAAGTGTTTTCATTAACATGGACTCCAGTCTCTTCACCACGAAAAAATGACAACTTCCTTTAGGCATTTTCAATATGTCTCTTTCCATTGATTTTTAGAGTGTGGAAGAGAGAGGGAAAGACAGAAAGAAACATCATTGTGAGAGAGACATTGCGATTGGTTGCCTCCTGAATGATCCCTGACCTGGGCTCTGAAATTGAACCCAGACCCTCCAGTCAGCAGGCCAAGGTTCTATCCACTGAGCAAAACTGGCTAGGTCAGGATATGACATTTCTTAGGGCCTGCTGTTGGCGACTTATCAATGATTCTCTCTCATCAATGTTTCTAACTCTTTATCCCTCTCTCTTCCCCTCTGTAAAAAATCAATAAAATATATTTAAAAAAAATAAAATAAACAATCCAATTTAAAAATGGGCAAAACCCCTAAATAGACACTTCTTAAAAGACATAGAGATGGCCATAGACACATGAAAAGATGCTCAATGTCAATAATCATCAGAGAAATGCATATTCAAACCACAATGAGATATCCCCTCACACTTGTCAGAATGTCTATCATCAATAAATTAAAAACCAAGTGTTGGTGAGAATGTGGAGAAAGGGGAACCTTTATGCACTTGGTGGTGGAAATGCAGATTGGTGCCGTCCATATGGGAAGCAGTGTGAAATTACTTCAAAAAATTAAAAATGAGTGACATGGTTGGGGGTGGAGGGGTAATGGGGGAGGGACATATATGTAAAAAATAAAAATCAATAAATTAATAAATAAAAATATTAAATCTAATCTATACAAGTGGTCGACATAACCTTAAGAGAAATTGTTTCATCTGACAAATTTTTAAATGAAACTCTGTAGCCTGAAATTATCATGGAAGGAAATAAAGAGAGGTTTCCTTCAAAAGTTGTAAGGATTGTAATTGAAAGTCAATACATTTGGCCTCTTGAACTAAAGTAAATAATTTGTGTGTTTGTCTCCTTGACAAAGTTTATATAAAGTTACAAAAAGAAATTGACAGCCAGTTTGAAATTGAATTGCCAGGGCCCAGAGCAAAAAATACCCTTACATGATATTATCCTACAATGTCATTATAATTTTTGATATTTCACAACAGCATATTATTACCCCCCTCATCCCCCTAAAAAAACTTACAAACTAATTCTCTGAATGCTTGGCAGCAATTTAAAAAAGGATATAAAGGATTTAATCCCTTTCAGAAGGAATTAAGGCACTGGGAAGACACTGGAGCACTCTATATTGAACCCTCTTGCCCTTTTGGCCAAGAGGGACTCTCCTTTTACAATCCAACTGTCCACAGATGTTGCTTGAGCTTTCTGTTAATGCTGAGGTTGAAACCTCGTGGTGGCTTGTACCATGGATCTGTCTCTCGCCCAATGGTGTGAGCTGGGCCCTCCCTGGAGAAGAAACCTGAGTCCTCCAAGATATGTGATCAGTGCTGGGGCCCACCAACAGGCGAGGGGATCCAAAGACAGGAAATGGGCGAGGAGGCCATCGGGGCATAAGCTACCAAGGAAACATAACTGAACCTCAAATCACCCTGCTTGGCCCTGGGGGATGGCTAGTTAGACAGTCAGGTAAGATTCCTCAGGGAAGGAACAACCTAAAACAGGCACAGTCGCAGAGGGGCCATCGGGAGAAAATGTGGAGATCAACAGAGGTGGGGCACAGACCCTCACCCTCCCAACCTTGCAGGGACCTGAACCCTCACCCCTTCAGAGGGAGGTCTTCTGCTCCCATGGCTGCTTCCCTTCCCATGCCCAGCTCAGATAGAGACCCAGGTAACAGACAGAGACTTGGCCCAGCTCAGGTAGAAACCTAGGTAACAGATGGAGACTTGGCCAATAGCAGCTGCCCTATATCTAAACCAGCATAGCACCAAGAATGCTCAGGGCCTACTCGAGAATGCAAATAGTCCTTTCCACTAGTATTTACAGGGTAAACTAAGATCATTGTTAGGACCAAACCAGAGAGGGTCATACCTGCATTGCCACCATCTGTCCATCATCCAGATATCATTGCTGACTTGTACACATAAGGAACTATTTGACATTGAAACTGGGTCTCAGAACTGTTGGACACTGAAATTGGGACTCAAATGTTTTTTGTTATTATATGTTTATTTCTAGTCTGCGGTTGCAAGATTTTTCAAAGAAAATAAATGGGGAAAAATAGTTATAGAGTTAAAGAACCATTGAATAGATTGTCAAACTATAGTGGGAAGGCAGGGAAGGTTGGAGGGCAGGGGGCTGTAAGAGATCAACCAAATGACTTGTATGCATGCATACAAACATAACCAATGGATACAAGACACGGAGGGGGGTTGCGGGCAGGTGAAGGCAAATTGTGGGGGGGGGGGAGAAGGGGAGTTTGGGGGGAAGTCAATGGGGGAAGAAGGAGACATATGTATTACTATTTGTAATCCTTCAAACAATAAAAAAATTAAAAATTAAAAATTAAACTGCCTTATGAACCAGAGATTCCACATCTGGGAATATATCCAAAGAAACCCAAAACAGTAATTTGAAAAAGTATAGGCACCCCTATGTTCATTGCAGCATTATTTACAATAGCTAAGATGTGGAAGCAGCCCAAGGGCCTATCGGAAGATGAGTGGGTAAAAAATTGTGGGACATTTCCACAACGGAATGCGACTTGGCTATAAAAAAGA